GCTTCTTTGGCTGTTAAGATACCATGGTGCCTGCTGACAAGTGGGATGGATCCTTGCCAAAGGACAGAGTTTGTCAAGTATTAATGGCTTTAACTGACAGGTCTGTGTAACACTTCAAGTGTCTTCTCATGCATGGGAAGTCTGTCTGTTCCAGTCCTGAACTTTGGCGCCATGTGCCTCCAAACTCTTGATCTCACCTGCTCTCATACACACGTGCCAAAGAATAGTGGAGGAAAGGGAAGCATAAGGGAAGAACAGTATTGGCTCCCTGCAAGCAGAGGCTGAACTGCCCTGAGCACTTTGAAGACTTGTATGAGAGGTACCCAAATGGCATTGGCTGGGGGTAATGGCAGTTCTGTCCTTGTCCATTGGATAACAGCAACAGCAGGAAGGACTGAACCTCAGCAAGGTGAGTTTGCATTTAACAAAAAGATTGTGAAATTGCCTTAGTCTGTTGGAAAAACAAAGCCATAATATTGTCTAATTAATGTGTATATATAAACATATAAAATTGCTATTAACACATAAGCCACTAATACATAATTTCAGTTGTGTGTGACAATGTAAAATGAATTTCTACTTTAATGTGTGATATTTCATAACTCCTGGGATTTACCTTGCCTAACTTCACATGCTTAAAAGTCAGGTCAGATGAATCCAGGCCTAAAGGATGGGTTAGTGCAAGCTTGTACTGTATGGTATTTTTAAGAACAAGTTAGATACCTGTCTGACAGGAGTTACTTAAGAATAATTGGCACTGTCTCGTGTTAGAGAGAAGGACTCTTCAGCCACATTTTGGATGGGGAAAATAGTCCAATGCTTGTGGTTTTGTTAAGGCAGGAAAACCTGAAACCAAAAATGACTAAAAATATGTTAATTGTCCAAACTGAGAAAATACAGATAAAAATGAGAATCAGGGGGAAGGAAGTTAGGCTTGATGATACTGGTTATACTATTTCAATGATTGAAAATATATTTAAGGATGTTCACATGAGTATGGATAGTACTATTTTACAGTAGTAGTAGAAGAAAAAAGGGAGGAACTAGCTGGGGGTCATGCAGGGCCTACTTTATACACTTTCTGCAGTGGTCGCTCACTTTTTAGTTATCATAAAAAATATAAAAGTATTTCACTGTGCAAAGTCAACATTGCAGGTTGCTTGGCAGGATTTCAGATTCCTTTGATTTCATTGCATTTCATTTGTATTTTGTTTTATTACTGGTGTCACAAATTTTTGTTCAAAATCAAAAAGGAAAAAGTCCGTGTGGAATATAGACCTTCTGTGGTTAGCATTTTCTCAAAAGGTGGCCAACACAAGGAACTATGACGTGTCATGCAGACTGTTGCATGGTTATGGCAAATGTAAGGTCAATTTTAACTTTACTTTCAAGCAGATTGTACTTTTAAGTAAGGATATAGCAACTCCTAAAACTATACTGGGATGCATATAAATGTTCCGGATAAAGATGCAAAGTAATTAAAATGGAAATTTAGACTTTGTGGTATGTTGTTTATTCCCCACAGGGGAAATGTTTTGGAGGAGCTGGTACACCATTTAGTCTTCTGAGTGCCACTGGTGTGGCATACTGAGTGTAGTCATTCTGCTTCCACTTCTAATTTAAGCTCCTAGTCTTTCTAGCTTTCCTCTGGTTTAATTACAGAAGACAGACTGACTTCCATGCCGTGGACAGGAACTTAACACCAGTAGTTTAATTATTCTTCCAGAGGAGTTTATCCTTTCTGCTGGTGGAAAGCTAAAAAAGGGCCTTAGTGCCTTCATGGCATATAGGCCATCTGAACAACTCCCCTTTTCCTAACCTGATCAGTTTTGGCCCTATAGAATAGCACTTCTGGAGGATGGTGAATGCTTCTCAGTCTATGCTTTTCTCCTTTTCACAGCCTACTGTCTGCTCAGCTCGTTTAGTACAAACTCTCTCTCTCCACATGCTTTTATCACTGTTTGTGCAAAAATCTTCTGTACAGCTTGTGCTTAATAGAACAGTCGTCTTCTATCTCTCTACTTCACTGATTCTCCATCTGTTCTCCATCCAAACCAAATCTGAAAATTTATCCTTTGCTTTGCATAAATCTCTTCAGCACTTCTTCCAGTGCTTTATTACTTTCAATTTTAACTTTACAGCCTGTGATAGACACTAGATAAGATAGTTCTGCACTGCACTGCTCTCCTAAATCATTAGCTGAAGACAAATATTTCTTTATTCAATTGTTGTCCATTTTTAAGTGCATCTATATGATTTAAACACTTGTTTTCAAATATTTGTACATAATAGCAGTTCATCAAGGGGGGAGGGGCAGTTCTATTCTTTAACATCATACAATTTTAATTGATATATAGGGGTTTTTTTTCCTAAGCCTTCCTATAAAACTGTAACTGTCCAACAAGATGAACTGGAGTCCTCATTTGTTACCAGACTAATTGTGCTGGTCAATAATAACACCTTCAGGTAGATTGGTTCCTACTTAAATTGAGTAGCCCTTGAATCATACAGCAAGGAAAACAATGTCACCAAAATATAACAACTCCACAAGTTCTTTGAGCACCACAGAACTAAGTTTTTTAATTTTACTTATTCCCTGAAAGTAATTGTTTTGTCATCTAAAAGTTTATTTGTCCCATTTTATTTCCACCAAACCAAACTTGGATAGCTGTTCAGAGAATCTCCTTTCATTCCTGATCTTCTCAACATTCAGATTGTTTTATAGAAAATTAATGCATGAAAAATTAAGATGATAATGTGACAGACTGACAAGAAAATGCCTGGTTATAAGTTCTGAGGCATCTTTGATGCCTGGATACTCACTGGTGTCTGTCAGTTCAGATTTCACCTTCTCAGAGTTCCTCTATAACACGTTGTCTGTATTTCATTAGCCTCAATTCAAGTGGATCAAAACTATGGGACTATCACCCACAGCAGGTAATATTTGTGAGAAAAATTTCACTTCAGTTTTTCCTTTAGTTGAGCCTAAGTAGTCCTCTAAAATATATCCTCCCATCATTCTAGTTATTTTTATTTTGCTTGGCCACAGTGTAAGTATTGCAAATACCAGAGGCTGTTGTGAGACACAAGGATGTTATTCAAGGGTATTTGCAGGACTAGAAACATCTCTTGCTATGTGCTATGTCATTTAGAAATCTGATAATGGCTTCCCCCACCATACTGACTCTGTGAACCTCTGTGTTACTTATTTGATTTTGGTGATTTGTGCTGATTTCAGTGGAGGAAAGCATGATTTAAACCAAATTTTTAAAGCAGCAATAATACAAATACCCCTTTGAACACAATTTTAATGCAAAGTAGCAGGAAATCAAATTAACCCAACAAATGTAAAGTAACAGATGTGCTTAATAGTTAAAAAGTCAGATTTATTTGTTGTTTGGGGTTTCTTTTTACAATTAGGAATTCTCTTCACGGATGTTTAAAGAGATCTTCATGAACAAGGTAGTACAAATATACAGGCTACATTGCATACCTGCAGATGTGGGTGATGTACAGTGATGATTCTTTTGTCTCTGGGAGGATACTTGTGTGAGAAAGACATTTAATTCAATTAATTGAAACTGTTCCTTACAAGATTTCTGGCTGCGTTGCTGGAATAGTACTAATGCCAAACCACTAAAGTCATTAATTGCCTTCAGAGCATCGACCTTCTTGATCACTCCATGTGGGGTGAAGTATTGCAACTGGATGTTAGCATGCATGTGTCCCATGAACAGGCTTGCCATGGTTCCCAGTCAGGGAAGAAAGACTCCCCAGGAGTATTCACAAGACCCAAAATGCACAATATGAAAAATAACTCTTAACAGTACCTTAAATAAGTGTCATTCCTTTTCTGTTTCCCTGTCTGTACAGGGTGTAGCAGGCACACCTTTCCATGGTTTCAGCAGTACAAAATGCCCTCACAGATGTGGTTACTAACTCCACTTTACCCATCTCTTTGCATTTAGAGGAAGAAAAGTTGGGGAGTTCAATCAGTTTTTCCCTTATGCCTATTTCTGACACCATAATCGTGATAGTTTAATTTTCATGGATCTCCTGTGTGATTCTCAGCTTTATCTGTATTGCCTCTTGTTTGTGAGGGTGAGGTTCATCTGGCTAAGTGTAAATGTTTGTGTTCAAACCAGTCCTCCTACTTGCTTTTGCAGTCAGTGGAAAGGAACAGGCACTTATTTACTCATTTAATAGGGAGGGTTCACCACGATCAGTTTTAGAAATCTATGTTAGGGCATGAGTAATCTGCTGTAGAAGTGCTTTTCTTTTTTTGACTGATCATAGAGGAGTGTAGATGACAGGTTCAGTGTAGACACCTGCATTTAGCCAAATGAAATTTACATTCAATGTCTTTGATCCTAAATTTATCTTGCAAGATTTTTTCTTTCCCTTCTGTGAGCATGTATAACTGTACATGCTGTGTAAGACACTGACAGGAGACAGTGATGCAGCCTTTTTAGTAATTGAACATTTTCATATAAAAATTAAGCATTTCTGAAAACGTTGCAGGTTTCCATGGGATCCAACTGGAACAGAAAAGAGCCTGAAGCAGTTTTCTTCTTTTTTTTTTCTTCCCAGTTTTCCTTAATGAATATAAAGGCTCTTTAGTTGTATTTTCTTCAGGTTTTGTGTGGACTGTGCACGTGCATGAGATAGATTTGTTGTTACTGCATGATCTTTAGCATAATATTGTTTCTCCAAGAACATCCTGACCACAATCAAAGTAGACACTAGTCTTTCTGCTCTAGTCCACTGGCAGCCATTAATACCAATGACTGTGGTGAACTTCAGTCTAGGTCTGATCCTTCAGAAGAAATCATGAGGGTCCAGCCAACCCTAGGAGGTAGCTATAGTGTAACCATGCCACAGATTTTACAGTTAAAATACATCGAAGGTAGTGAAGACAGCTTTCTAGTCAGTGTCTGAGACTGCAGAATGTCTCTGTACTGTATGAGAAAAGAAGGTCCTTAGGGTTCTTTGTTCAGAAATTATGTCACTCTGCTTGGTGGTCGCATTGGGTTACTTTTTTGGTAGGAGTGACCTCCACAGACTTCTGAACTGTCAGTTCCATCCCTTATGATTATCTCTTGTGTGGCTTTGAATATTAATGGCACAAAGCCATCCTTGTCTGCAGTGAGCACAATCCAAGAAGAGCCTACAAAAATTAAGCAAAAGAGAAAAAAATGAATGCAGTGCTCTGGTTATGTAAACGTAGGAGCACATTTTTAACAGTCAGCCAGCACACAAGCAGAGAGGGTTTCTTTTTTGTGAGCTAAATCCTTATTATGCTAATGACATTAAGGTCTGACAATCCATGCTCAACACACCTTTGTGTAAATGCAATGAGGGGCTAAGTGAATAGTCTTGCAAGGTTTGAAGCATTTTGTCCCTTATTTAAATTAAGTTCAACAACAGGCAAATCTTTGTTAGTTCTGGTAAACTGCAAGTATCTCCATCTTTTGAAAACTCAGCCAGCCTCTCCATACTGACTTTTGTTCTAGTGACATCTGCTTATCCCTTTTGCTCATCTGCTCTACCCAAATCATAGAATCAACTGGGTTGGAAAAGACCTCAGAGATCATCGAGTCCAAACCTATTGTTACTAGGCCATGAAGTGCCACATCCAGTCTCGTCTTGAAAACTGGAAAAGTTGGCAAAGGAAATGATTGTGTTGTATTTGTTCTAGAAGGGATAGGGGTTTCCATGTCCTTTACTGTCAAACCAAGATTGTTCAGTATGTTTTCAAATTCATATAGCAAGCTGAGGTTACACCTTGAAGATGATTTACAAAGGCTGTAAAATAAAATTTCTTGTCCTTTAATTATTTCTCAAATCATCTCATAAAGAGAATGAACGAAATCTGAATGACATTTTTAATGCCTTTTTTTTTCTGAAAAGAGGCAAGATTGAAACACAAAGACCTCAAAACCATTCAGGTTCACTTTCTGTATTGCACAAGAAATTATACCTCCCCCATTTGTTTTTTTGCTTTGCTTTGCATGTCAGCTTGAAATTGAAACTATATGTACCATCCCTTTTTTTAATTGTTTATTTTTTTCTTGTAATGATTCATCTGTTTCCTTTTTGACTGGCTGTTACAGTCCTTATAGAAAACAGTGACTTCTTTATTTGTCTTTTTTTTTTCCTGTTTCACATTTTATGACAAAAAAGTAAAAAAATCTGTGGCAACCAAAAAGCATTGTGGGAGCCCTTGTATGACACTTTTCCTTAAAGCATGTGACCCTGTCTTTACTGAGCAGGGGCATTAGCTGGGATAGGAGGGAATAAAGCCCTGATATGATCTGACTTGGGTTTTTTTGATTTTCAGAGATAAAACTGAGAGAAAAAATTTTTGTCAGTCATAACAAAACATATTCCTAGACAAGGTAAATCTCTCCTCCTTACACTACTAACAAAGCACTTTTCCAGGCTGCTACACTAGTGCATGTTGTCATGTCACCTGTTACATCATAAGAAGATTGTCATTCCAAACCATGAATCTTTAATCTTCTGCTCTAAATACCTTCTTTCTAATTCTAGACAGCCTTCAGATTCTATGAGCAATGGGCCTGAAAGTGGAAATTCTACTTCCCAAATGGATATTACATTGTTGGTCAGATTGACAAAGCATATTCTTATGTCAGACTCTTGGGACTTTTTACTTTCATCCATTGAAATGTTTGAAATTCTCTGTGTGGTTGCTAACACTTGCTTTGAAGCATATCCCACAGAATATTTCAGTGGAGGAAAAGCCTTGTGCAGAGTGTAGTACCCTTTTTCTATGAGCAACTATTATGATGATGATGTGCCAAAAAGAGAGACTTGTGTGCTGATACCCGGGCACTCCACAACGGACTATATTTAGCACTGGTAATGGTATTACAGTCCTGGGCTTAAAGTGCAAACAATGAGGCTGAGTTCATCGCTCCTATAAATCTGATGATCTTAACAGCCTTACTGTGGGCAAGAATTCGAACTTCTTTTTCCCAATATATTAAAGTTTAAGTGTTCATTCATAGTAAAAGATGCCAGGCTGTCATTGTAAAACAAGCACACTCTTTATCACATCCACATTAATTATATAGTATTAAAGGATGGGAGTTATATTTTTAAACTTCACATGTAATATTCATGTCTTGCGTCAAAGGAAACTTTTAGGAATATGAACATATACTGGCCGGAACTGAATAAAGAGCTACATAACTACTTTTCCTCCAAACTTGATAATTTTGCAAGATTTTGATGTGTTTTAGAAAATTCTTGTTGCAGTTTTTTTAATGACTCAGTTCATAAAATCTGAGCAGAAAGAGGGACTGAGATTCAGATTAGATGCTAGGAAAAACTTTTCACGGTTAGGGTGGTCAGGCACTGGAATAGATTGCCCAGAGAGGTGGTGGAATCACCATCCTTGGAAGCATTTAGGAGCTGTCTGGATCTGAGGCTGGAGGATATGGTTTTTTAGGGTTTAGGGGTTACAGCAGAGTTGGAGGTTAATGGTTGGGTTCGATGATCCTAGAGGTCTCCTCCAACCTTAATGATTCCATGATAGGGATACATTAGGATGATTCTGAGACATCATCTTTTTGATATCTCTGAAGTCTAATGCATGAAACTGAGGAGTGGTGCTCTGCTAATTAAATATTCAGCTGTTCTATAGAGCTGAAAATAGCTTCTCTCAGTCCCATTATTTATTATGGGCATTTCTTTTCAAAACCAAGAGCTGGAAATACAGGCCAAGAACGGTCTCCTCCTTGGCCTGCAGCACTGCATTGTGTTACTGCAGAAATTTGCTGGGAAATAGCTCAAGCCTTAAGAGCAGGTAGAGTTTTTCCATATATGCTTCCACTGCACTGTACAGTTGAGAGAGAGATTGCTGACAAAGGTATAAACCCTGCATATCCTTATCTTCTGCAACACCCTCAGAAAGAGGATCATAATAGACTATGATGAGAAAATACATCAGAAGTTTATAGAGAAATGGCTAAAACATCGTGGTGCGTGTGCTGCTGAGAAGGTGACACACAGGAACGGACAAGGACAAGATAATTCAGAGACCAGGCTGGGCCCAGGGTTTCCCTCATGGCTTCTGTCCTCACAAATTAATCAGTGATGAGTGGTAAAAATGTGAGATTAGCAAATAAAAACACTGAGCTTCATTGTTTATGTTATATTAAAATGATACCAAATTCTAATCGATACATATATACATAATATTCTGGGAATTAATTTTTCTCCAGACTACTCTATATTGCCAGGTCTGGGACATGCTTGTAAAGATAGGCAAAGCAAAAATTGCAAAGGGTCTCAAGGAAGCATTTCTACTTCCAGGTACAGTGTGCTGATTATTTTCTCAGCCTTCATCTGTAGAGGCATCTAACATGTTACTCTGCTAATAGGTAGTTCTGCAGTTACTTAGCATTTAAATGATTTCAAGAGACACTCTGCTGTATTTCAGACAAGGGAAAACACACACGTCAAAAGACGTTTGCTATCTCAGTTGACTACAGTCTGGGGTAATTCTACCACAAATGCCTCTTTTATTTTAAAAATCACAGCTGAACCCAGATACCAGAAATAAAAAGCACATACCGTGTTTCATTTCAATAACAGGCAGATCGAACAGCTGCTGGACTAAACTCAAATGGATCTTGCCATCACAGAGGAGAACATCTTTTGTTTCTTCAGTAACTGATCCATTAGAAAAGCTTTTCTTCAAATGCGTGTATGTAAAAGAAAAGATCTTGTTAATGGCTTAGACACTGAGCCTGACTTCTTTTAACTATTCTGCTCTTACTCCTTTCAGTTCTTTAGTCATTTTGCTTTTGCTTTTTCTGTCTTTCCTACGATTTATAGATGACATCACCATGCAGTGCCATTCTTAGTGCAATCTCATAGTCCCATGTGAGGAGGATGAAAACACCTCTTTGCTTTTCGCTTTGTGAGCTCCTGCAGCTCAAAGCTGCGTCAGCCCTGTATGTGTAATGTACTGGGACATGCATATGTGTGTCTGTTGGGCCTCTCTGCCTGAAGTGTCAGTTTAGTGGAGGGGAATGTATCATCTCTGGAATAACATTGTCCAAGATGCTGCCAGAGCAAATGAGTACTCTGCTCAGTTTCAGCTGTATGTGTGGGTGGCTTTGATAGCCACAGGTCAACTATTCCACCCTGGTAAAACAGCCTCAGGGTTATTTTGGCACAGGGAGAATTTGCAAAGAGACTGGACATAGTGACAGTCTCTTTGAAAAGCTTCCATAACGCGGTAGCTTGGGAGTCCTGTGACTCGCTTTGAGAGAAAGGGAATGTATGGATTTACAGCCCTGGAATTTGCTCTGACATTCACTGAAAGAACACACTTGAATATAAACATGGCTCGTTCATACTTCATGAAACTTAGGTGGCCCTGAGAATTGACACCTTTGTGTTCCATCATTCTGGTTACCGCAAGGTGCAGGGACCACAAAATAGGTGAGCTACTATGGTTATGGAGTGGATATATATTTGCATTTACATTTTCCTATCTGCTATCATTTGAAAGTCATTTTAACACTGAAAATTTTCCAGTGACTCAATGTCATTATGAAATAGATGTGAATGGGACATTTTCTTCTAAATAATCTTCCTATACTTTGTCCTGTGAATTTCATTTGGTTTTTTCCATGCTTTCCACCTGTGTAGTTCCATGTGTTATGTTTGGGGGTTTTTCCTTTGGTATCTTTACATTTGCAGTACCCCAGATTTATCCTATTTGTGCTGTGAATAAGCAGTCTGTTTACCCTATTTCCCAGGCCTTTCTGTTTTGTGCACTCAGAAGGGATCCAAGGTAATGTTTTATAATGGGTTGAAAGGATGTCATTTATCCTAACTCCTGTCTAGTCCTACCCTGTCTGTGTCTGCTTTATACCCTTGAATCTTTCTTGCTAATGTGAAACTTACAGTTGAATGAATTCACAACTGCATCTTCTATTTCTGTGCACAGTAACCTTTGACTAAATAAATGTCTCTTTTAATGCTTGTCTTCATTTCTAATTGTGCTGTCTTTTGACAGTTGCTACCTCAGTGAACATGTGCTTTGTTGCTGTGAAACAACCTTTCTAAATCAATCGCTTTCACTTTTCTGTACATAGTGTCTATGCTGTCATGAAACCACATTGGATTCTGTAAATCAGAATATCTACCAACTGTTGCAAAAGTCTTTTCTCCCACTCTGTCATAAATTGCTTATGCAGATAGTCTGTGGGTGATTTTTATTTCATTTATTATGTTTGATTGTATATGTAAGCAATGAAAAATATCTTTCCATTAAAAATGTAAACTTTCCAACTTTCAAAGGTCTTCTCATCTCTTTGCCCATTCAAAACAGCCAGAAATTTGTTGGTGCATAATTAACAAAGGAAATACCTAAGGAAAGCATCAAAGAAGTGTCATTTTCTTAGTCATAAACTTATGTAACTATGTAAAATATTTCTTTGTCATTTTTAGGTCTCTTCACATTAAGCAGCACTATATTCTATTAAGCCTAAATACACTTAAAACTCAATGGGCTGAATGTTTAGCAGTGAGCATGTGCTTTGCACAATCATTGCAAAGATGCTCTTTGCCTGTACAGGTGTTTGTGCAAAGCTTTTTCATTGCTGCATGTTGTGGATTGGCACATCTAACAAATAGTTCACCATCCTGAATTCAGGTTGCGATAGCAGAGTTTATTCAGGCTGGTACTCCAGTTAATGAGCCATAGAAAAAGGTTGGCTGTATTGTCAGAGACAGGCACATTGCCTTGACCCGAGTGGTTCATTTTTTCACATAGATATGGTTCGACTCAAGAATAATCAGCAAACAATCTAGCTCTGCCTCTGTTGACTTGAAATCAGTTGAGTGGAAATGTATACTAAAGATGGCTTTTTTCTGGTTTGTTTCTTACTTAGCCTTGCATGGTATTATTGGAACAGCCATTGGAAGTGGAAAACATTTTTGCATATATAAAACTGCATTATATTTATTTTTTATCCCAAACAGCTTTTCAAGTACAGACTTAAAGATTAAGTCTCCAAGTTGTTTATCTTTCATCACTTGTGAGCATTCGTATTAGCTATTCTCTCCATCTTTGTCATATAGTTCTGTTTATAATGATAAACTTAATCATCTTTCCATTAATTTTTGTCTTTTGACAAATTCTGTCAGGTAAAGAATCTCTGTTTTAATCTTCTCATTATTTAGCCTTTTTTGTTTGTTTAATGCTTAGTTTAAGTGATGATAAAGTGCTTCCTCATTGAGGAATCTGTTCACACACAGCATATCACAGATTAGCTGATTTAAACCCATGCCTTCTTGTGAGGCAGGTAACTCTTAGTATTCCCTTTTTATAGATGATCATACCATTACACAGGAAGCTTAAGAGATTTACTCAAGGTCAGGTAAGTAATTTGTGACAGTATTAGAAGTCCATCTAAAATCTCACCTTAGTACTTCCCATTTTCATGCCTTAACCCAAAAACAATTTTTTCACCAAATCTAAATTCGATCCACCTGTTCCCAAAATCCATGTCTGTTTTTTAAATTTTGTTATTTATCTACAATAGAAGTCAGAGGACTTGAAATTCCCAGATTGAAATCCCTTAGGTTAGTTGCTTTATCCTAAAGCAGAGTTTATTGGTACACTAAGAACATATTAACCACAAAGAAACAAATATATTTCCCCATACGTGAGTGAATATTTTCAGTTACTTTACCCAGCTTCCTGTATTAGGTCAAGTTCAACTCTCCCTCAACAAAAATCCAACATAAAGAAACCATCAATTCAATAACTGTTTTCCTTCATCCACGTCAACCTGCCCCGATCAGATTTTACAGCCTATAAAGGGTCAGCTGGGCAGCCACCAGCCCATCCCAGCAGTGCCAAACTCTCTTCCAAAACTCACATTTTGGAACGCACAAATGTATGAGAAGAAAATAATTTGCTAAGGCAAAGAGGATTCCTGGATTAGATGTTGAACACTGTATCTCTGCATGTTAAATGAACATCTTTTATCCCTTTTTGAACCCCACTGGGCAGTCAGCTGGAGCTGGTTCTGTCTCTTGACCTCTTCACCATTCATTTTGCATTTCCTAATGCACTGCCTCCACTCGCCTGGCTGCTAAGATCGTCTTAATGAACTTAAATGCAACAACTGATGAAACAGTGAGCTAAAGGAGAATGAGCTACCAACCAGAACTGTTTATACTAACACTGGGTTAGCAATCAGTTGATGTCTGAATGTGTCTTTCTTGCCTGTGGATGTCTAGGAATGTAAAAGGTTTTCCAGTAGAGGCTCCACAGCTGTGTGCCCAGTGCTGGATGAGGTGCCTCACTGATATTCCCACACGCTGCCTTTGTTCTTTTAATAAACATACCATATTTTTGATCCATAGTCATTTTGTAGTCACTTAACATGTACAAGCTTTTGTCATCCTTGGTTGTTTCCAGCTAATGCATATCCAGTTTAAAGCATAACTTTCATCTGTTAATCCTGGAATATATCACTATGTACTTCATATTAGTTCATTTCAATACTTTTTTTTTTTTTATTCTGGATGTTAAGCTCATCAACTTAATGTGTGATATCCTGATCCTCTATTGAAAATGCTACTGAATTTATGACATAGGCAAATTTTATTAGTGTAACTCAGCAGATCATTAATGAAACTTTTAGATGAGCCTGAAGATAAATCATGAGAAAATCCACTAGTAATTTATTTCCATTTTCTTCTGTATTACTATATCCATTTACCACCTTAATTCCAGCTAATTTCTTAACTATCTTATTTTTCTTCTATTCATCCCTATTCTCTGCTGTTGAACAAAAAATTTTCCCTGAGGCACAATTTCGAGTACTCTAATGACTTACAGGTGTTTTAAATATTCTTCATCTCCTTTCTGTTAATAATCTGGTTTTTATGAAGGAAAGGTAAGAGGTTAGGCCACCACAATTCTGCACGGTATGATGAATAGTGCTGTAGTTGCCTAGAGCTCTGTTTTCATCTCTAAACCCTTGATTTCAGCTCTCTGTGTTGTGGCCCAGTGCTGGTTTCAGGTTTGATATCTTAGTACCCATTAGTCAGCTTGCTTTTACCTTGCCCCCACATTCATTGTGCAGGATGAGAAAAAAACTAGTAAATTAGTTAGATGTGGGGGTTCTGGCCCAGAAGACACTGAAGAGAACAATGATTTTGTACAGTCAAAGGACTGTGTTTCATTGAGTCTTGTGCAATGTTGCCACAGGTAGCGTTTATTAGGTTTGGCAGCCTGCACTGCTCCCTTTTCTTGTCATGATTTCTGCTGCTGCTGCTCTGATTCCTGCTTGATTTTTGGTGGATCCTGGTTTTATTGTGGTGGAGATCATAATACCTGTGCTTGCCCTTACGTGGGGCATTCCAATTACAACCCGAATTAACCTGGCAGAGAAGCATAAGCCTGTAAAATGTTTATGCTGGAAGAGATCTGAGGTGCTCAGGGGTGCTTAAATCCCAGTGCAGGCTGCATCAGTGCACATCAGTGTTCCAGGTGACGTAATGCTGGGATTTCTCTACTCTTGGCTCCCTGTTAATAGTTCTGCACCTACTGTTTCAGGTGTGTTGTCATCTAAGATATGCCTTTTGTGCTTGTGCTTCCATGATCTTTATGTTTTGAGTGGGTTTTTTAAAACTTAGATCTTTGCTTTCATTCCACAGTATGAAAACGTGGCTTCATTTTTGACATTGCATGTTCCTTTTGCATCTGCATATCCAACAAACAAATCATCTGCTCTAATAAAAGGTATTGCATCTCCTCTACAAAGGCTGCCTGTCTGCTATTGATCAGTTTCAGAACATTGTTGACAGAATTTGTTCTTAACGAATTCCTCAACCTTTGCTCAAAATGTTATCCATGCATTAATCACACCTTCTTTTGACTACTGCAGGTCTTTCTTTTACAGTCACCCTAAATCTCTCTCTTCTAAATTTCAGGATAGCTGGCTAGTTTCTTACTCCAGGGAGCAGTCATATCACCTTCCTCCTCCATCATTTTCATGACTTACTTTGTATTTCTCAACCCGAGTCAAAATTGCCCTTTGGATTTCAGAAAGGTTCATGGTCATATTACAGCTGATCATTGCAGCCTGGTCTTTGCCTTGCTCCTTTTACTGTGCCACCCTTATAGCCTCCTTCTTTACGTCACATATTTCTAGCAGAAGAACTTTACTGCCATATGTTTGATCTTTTCTATTCATCTCCCAGCTCTGTGTAAAAAAAAAAATAAATTGTTTATTTTATAGCTGACCTTGGCAATAAAGTTTTCCATAGTAAATTGCATGAAGATACTATAAAAGCACAAATTGACTTGTATGCAATTATTGGTGAGTGCTAAGAAAAGGAAATCATTGTGACTAATTGCTGAAAAGATATTTATTTCCTGTTTAATTATGCAATATATGCTCTCAGTGATATACACTTTTGACATAATACTGCTTCTGAGCAAAATGTAGGAGTTTTAAGATATTCTTCAGATTAAGATGAATCTTATTCCTCCTGGAGAGGTTTGCCTAAATGCCTTTAATTTCAAATCCAGATTGGCTTTATTTCCACTGTAATTAGCTATTGAATGAGAGTAGTTTAAATATTCTGCAGCTGTTTCTTTTCTGGGGAAAAGGATGATAAAAGTATCTTTTTGCAAAATGAAACAGAAACAAATCTGTGACAGATCCTCTTCTTTTTTTTCTTTTTCTTCTTAAATAATATCCTCTTACAGCATTTGTCTGGCTGCCCTCCCACACTACCCCTAATCCAAGCCTGGATGTGATGAAAGAGCAATAATATTTGCTTTTCAGGGTTGAATGATCAAGTTACCTCTGGTGGCTGAATGCTATTACACAAGTGATAGTGCAGTGACATTTCCAAAGTGTGAGTGATCATCATTTTCTTCCTTGGCTATGGGCTACAGAGAATATAAATTCTGGTAGCACTGCATGGACGTGACTTCAGAGGAGTTACAGGCAGACTAGCACTGACAGGATAAACAAAGGGTTTGAAGACTGTTTAGTGAGCAGACATTATGAATTATTAAGTAATAAACGTTTTGGTTTATATTCTGGTTTTGTAAGCAGAACTGAAAGCATACATAAATGTGTCAATAATGCTTCTGCACAACAGTGTTTGTAATTGCTCGTTAATTTTTGCTACATTTTAAGCTATTATCTTTTAAAAAACTTTCCTTATATGTTTTAAATGCACGAATATGGTTGTGCAGTTCTGATGACTATATTTTACAGTACAATAGATTTCCCAATCAAGATTGAGCCTCTGCCATGCTGGGGACTACACAGACACTTAAGAAGAAATGCACTTGGCACAAAGAGCTGAAAGATAATGGCAATATTATTGACTGGACTGCAGTGTTCCTAAAGCTTAGAATGTTTTGCACTGGCTGATATTTATATCATAAGGCAATAAAGCTATTTCCTGACTTTTTGCGCTGTGAACACAGTGTCTGGCTGGAACCCACAGCCCAGCTGGTCTCTGAGCTCACAGTGCACTAATCAACTCCTGAAGGAGGAACAAGGTTCAGATGTCTGAACTTAAACTAATCAAAATAACTATTTTCTCTCAAAAATTATTAGCTGCCTATGAAGCAAATATTTCCCTGTCTGTCTGGAGTCCTTTTTGCCAAGCCTATTTTTCATTATTTTTTGGCACCATGCTGTGATCCTGTTAGATTTCAGCAGAGGGGTTGAACTATGCAAGCCATTAATGGAGACTTGCACCGGAAAGCCGCGTGTGTGGAAAGGCATTAAGTGGCACTTTTTCTGAGTCACTATAATGTGGTGCTAGCAGTGCTTGCTGCTGGCTCAATGTGAAACTAACCTGTTCAGATAAATAAGAGTCTTCCTTTTGAAGCATAGTTGGTCTAGCAGTATTTTAGAAGCATTTAATTTATTTTTTTCCTTCCAAAGGAAAAAACCAGGTTAATTAATTCTTATTGCTTGTGCAAGCAAACGTGCACAGCAACTTCAGATCTTAGATTAATGTTACGTCTCACAAATAAAACTTCTCTTCGAAAAGGTTAATCCAATTGAATCCCAGAGATAGGGCTGCTTGCTAAATAAATAAGTTGATTTATGTTAAGAAATCAGAATTAATTCGCACATGCTGGAGAACAGAAGGGATTGCTTTTTGGCCAATAAAATCCTAAATTATTTAAAATAGACATGTTGCTTTTTCACCAGAATTTATATAATGCATTCAAGTCAAATTATTGACTAATTCAGATTGAAAGCTTTGCTTTTATCCAGAGGACCCAACATACTAGAATCTGCTTAAATGCCGAGCAAACGATTGCTAAATAGCAATGAACATGATTGCGTTGAGTCACCATTCCCTTAATGAGTGTTTAAGGAGGGATACTTAGATGTCTGTATGGATTCCTTTAAAGTAAAAGGAAGTCAAATTTGTTTGAGAAGTACATACTTCACCATCACCACAATCTAAGGTATTATTTTCACATAATGGTGCTTATGTTGCACTAGGTAAGAATTCATTTATAATTGGCATCTACATCCTGAAAGGGACCCCAGTTCTGCCACTATCACCAGTGTGTTCGAAAATCTGATCAGTGTAATGTTAGTGTTACTGTGAATAATACAACAATAACCAGAAATAATTACCTAACCTACATTCCTTAGCTGAAATTCTTATTGAAGCTGGTAGGAAGTTTACCAAAATGAGGTTAGATAGGCACATGATGGTTTGACATTCTTCTGCTTATTTAATGAAATTATGATTTCGTATTGATGGATTAGGGTTTTTTATTTGGGGGGGGGGTTCAGAAAATTTAAAGTGTTTTACATAAGTTTTACAAATTGAGTGTGTCCAGCTCTGTGAAGATTAATGGTGAGAAATCAAAGTAGAAATAAGCCAAATTCATGTCATGTCCATCTGAAGTTTTCCATAAATTGTTATTCAATACTTTCTTTCAATCTTCATGAGAGTCTGCTATCTTCAGACTTTGGTTTTGAGTTTGGGTTTGAATTTATTATGCTTCTGGTGGGCTACTGTACCACCCTACTCATCGTCTCATCTCTGCACTAAACTAACATCTAAACCTTTTGTACATTAACAATTCTTTGGCTCTATTTTCTCTCTTTGACAGGTGCACACAAAAACCAATGTCCCAGACAGTTGTGCATAATCAAAGAACGAACAGACAAATCTCCCACGGGAAGTACCCTCTCAGCTACCCACATTATCCTGAATTATTGTTCCAATGACAAATTATAATGCCATTTTAGATTAAGCTTGATGCCAAACGTATGTTATATTTCTCTATAAGAATTAAACTGCAAGCTCTTGATTTACAGCTAAATAAATACAAGATTGTTTAAAAATTCAGTGACCTATCACAGTATTTTTAAGATGGCAAAAGTGTTACCTGGTAGGTGATATGAACCACAGGCGGTTCCTGTGAGCCTGGATAGGCTAAAGATATCCTCCTCCCATTTCTAGTGAAGTCTGTTATTTCAGAAAGACTGAGTTGTAACTCATTGAAGCTGCCACAAAGTCTTTCCAAATTTCTAGATATGTGAGTCATTCCTCTTTCACTTGGCAAATTGTTGTTTTTAGGAGAACTTGATGCTTCTCGGATCACACTGAACTGTACTTTAGGGGATGTTGGTCTGTTGGAAATCCTGGTGGGTGTTCCAAAACCACGAAGAGACACTGAGCGATTTGTAGGTTCTGCATCCAAAGTTTCCAAGGCCACCGAGGAGTCACCTGGGAGCCTTTTTTCATCCAGGTCACTCACACTTGATGAAGAGCTCTGCTCATAACTAGGGCTCTTTACTTCTTCGATGAGTCTCCTCCTGCCACTTGGAGATTGAATAACTGTCCTTGGTATTAACAGCTCCCTGTTTTGAGTTTGGTCTTCTGTAGCAAGATTTTCAAAGAACTTTCTTTTTCCAGGTATATTAACAGAGGATTCAAAGTTATAAAACATATTCTGCTTAGTCTCAGGCAATGCTGAAGAATTTTCTTCCAGCATCAATTCTTTGATCATAAGACGCATTACATACCTATCTGAAGCTGAAGCTGGAATGAGATTAGGCTCAGGGAGCTTCTGCTTGCCAATCAGAATCAATAAGAGTTTATCTGTTAAAAAGCATAGGCCCTTTGGTCTTTCATTTTTTTCCAGCTGGATTTGTTGAATGTGGGGCATGCAGGAAGAGGTTACCGAATACACCAAAACAATGTTAGAAGTGTTAGAGGCTACTGCCACAATCTGAGCTCTAAGGTCAAAAGCCATTATATCAGGAACCAGAATACCTGGGATGGTGACTTTTCTGGTGGTGGTTACCTTCCTCTCAAAAGTCACCAAGATCAAGTGAGAAGAATCTTGACCATTTGTTGCCACAGAGTCTTTGTGTTTCAGAGTAGTAAGAGGACTGGGATCAGACCGATGGTGGTTTGCAAGGATATGGGTTAAATCCACAGGACCTGACAAAGAAGAATTAACTGAATCAACACCTGATCTATCTGAATCTATGGACTTTCTTCGCATGTCCATGGAGTATTCCTCATCACCAAGCACCAGAGCAGACTGTGAGATTAGAGAGCCAGTTTCTGTACCAGATGGCACATCAAATGCAATGCCTGCATTGACACCACAGATATTATCTAAAGGAAGCTCAGTAGCTACAGCAATTTGGAAATCCAGTGTGGCTTCTATAGAGCAGATATAACCACCCACATCAAAGACTGGACAAAAGGAACAGATATTTAGAGTTTTCTGAGCATTATCCCATATGTAGGAGTGCAGGGCACTGCCTATAGCAACTACCAAGCGATTACCATCCTTAGTCCAGCAAGCACAGTGAATGTGCCCAGTGCTTTTGATATCTGCCTTAATTCGCGCATTGTCAGTACGAACAGCATGCAAGACTGAAGCATCTCGTTTCGTAAGCACAGCCAAGACCTCCTTCTTTGGATGCCAGACGCAGCCCTGGGAAAGCAGTGGAAACGGCTCACCAACTTCACAAGTCTGAGAAATCAAGGGTTTTTTCTTCTCTGCAGTGCTGTAGACCAGCTGCCAAATGCTTACGTGCTTTTTGTGCTGAACAGCGAGCAGAGCTGGGGTGCCTGTAGAGCAACATGGGCCCCAGTAAAGCCCATGAACATGTTCAAATTGTCCAACAACGCTCGAGTCTCCAAACTTTAGCTCTCCGTTTTGATAGTATAAAGCAGTCAGCATCACTTGCTTCCCATCTGTCCAGGCAATTCCGTGCACAGGGTGGATGGCCTGATATAAAGCATTGAGGCCAGTTCTCAGCAGCTTTGCCTTTCCCAGCTCCATCTTTTTATGCTTCCTGTCTACTGGTGGTTGTTCTAAAGTAGAGAATCCATGGAATTCACTTGCAGGTCACAATGAGGAAAATTTTTTCGCATTTCCTTCCCTTCCTTTCCAGAATCAAGCTGGTTTTTTCTGCTAATAATCCAAGAGCCTCTGCTGTGAACCCCTACCCAGTAGGCCTGCAGCTGCTCTTCTAAGTATAAATCCATGTCAAAGCTGCTTTGGCTATGTCTTTTCCTGGGAGGAGTTATCATCTTCATGTGATGGCTAACAAGGTTTAACCAATTACTGTGCATTTTCGTAGAAGACTATTTTTAACTCTTCGCCGCTGGGAGTGTATTTAAAAATAACACGCTAATACCTTGACCTTCAGTGAATGAAGGTCTTTGGTGAAGAGAGAGAGATCATACACTGTTAAGTCTAAGCATTAAGCTACAGCATGAAATAATGACCTGACACTTCTTTCAATCAGCCTTTAAAGGACAAAAGAAGATTTAAACATAACTGAGAACTGTACAAGGCAGATTGCAATCTGTGATGGGCAGCATCTTTCAAAGATACAAAAGCCTAAGTGGCTATGTAAGGAAAGTAGAAAAGGGAATTCATGCTCTGTTCTGTTAGTAGTTACAAGAGAATGAAGGAAGTTAAGATTTTTTTAAAATAAGGCAAAGTAGTGTAGGAGCAAAGGCAGCTCATCAGTGTTCATTTTACCGGGACAGATTTCCTAGCTACAAATATATATTGTTTTCTTCCTTGGTCTTCTCAGCCACCTGTATCTGAGGCCTGTTCCCTGCCTATATAGGCAAAACGCAGAGAGGAAGACAAATTTTTCCTGTTTCTCTTAATTCTGCAGTTTCTACAATATGTAACATAACATCATGCAAGATCTTTGAATTGACAAATGCCCAAAGACCCAACTGATAAACTCCTGTAACACAGTGGGGCCATGGGAGGCTATCCCAGTTTGAGTTGGCTGTTGTTTCGGGCCCAGAGCTTGCTCAGATGCACTGCCTTGGATGTCTCCATCCTGCCCTCTTCAGTGCATGCTGCTCTGGGGTTAGCTTGGATAGAGCTTGCGTATCCCTGAACATAAATGGTTAGGGTGAGATTAATTGCTTAAATATAATCAACTGTTACTATTTTCAGTGTCCCAGGATATTTGAGACAGCCACACTGGGCTGGCAGATATGCTATAGGACTTACGGAAGAGTAGTGCTATTCTGGAGTGGCAGCTGGCAACAAAGAGGTGATCCCTAGATAGTCCCTAGACTGTCTAAGATGGCATTAGAAGCTTATACACAGGTACCTGAATCCCATCCTTATCATCTTTTTGTAGTTCTTTTTTTGCCAGTGTCTCCTTTCTGCTTTGATGTAACTTGCATTTCTTCCTTTTTACATTAAAAAAAATGAATAAATTAAACCTGGGCAGAGGTATACAAATTATCGATGTAATCACTATGGTTAAAGATGTAAGAGGTAACTATACACATTCTGCATTTTTGGCTGATTTATACATTATATATTTTTATAGTACCACCTGGGGAAAACAAACATCTTGTTGAAGGCAGTTGGACCTCTGCTGTAAGAAATTTTTAATATCCTTTTCCCAGATGGATTTACTGATGATGCACCACTAAAGAATTCCCAAATTTATGTAATCATACCACATGCTCATTCACACATACTTGTTTGTTGTGTATTATTTAATGAAGATTGCATTCAAAACAAAAACTTTTTGATATTCATCAAGGACAAACCAGCAAGGATGGCTGGAATAGGTAAAAATTAGAAAGTTAAATATGTGGGTTAAAAGATCCCTTTTCATGCAAGACTCCTAAATTTTAGGTCTCCATCTCTGCTTGCAATGAAACCATGTTTTTAATGACTTTACCTTACCCGTTGCCACACTGCTGTACCTATTTCTCTGGGAGCTTTGACTACTCTGTACTTCCTTCAAGAGGTAGCAGGATTATTGTGTCATATATTAGTGGTAGCTTCTTACCCGTAGTAGTTATAATGAATAGATTACATTAAAATACAATTGCAGCAGCTCCACAAATTGGCAGAGTCTGTATAAGATATGTTTGTTTTGCTTTAACATAATGGTGCTTCGCTGCTTTGCTGTCTTCTGGATGTATTTTGCTGAAACTGATAAAGCTGTTCTTTAGCACAGCATCTCATCTATATTCTGCACCATTGTGCTTTAAATATCCTAACAAAACTATGTTGCAGCTGGATTCTAGAAACCTAAAATGTGGTTTGGATGCAGAAACTTCTGCCTCAGTGTGACTGAAACGCTCACGTTTCACTAAGGATGATGTGTGTTCTGCCAGCTACACAGACATGTTGAGAGCATGGACTGACTACTCATGTGGAAGACTGGACTTTATTTGCTGTTATGTTTTTTCGTTTCATCATCTCTTATAGCATCTGCTCTTCAGCAGTCTCTGTGACATTATCAGAGGGCGATACAAGGCTGAATCTGTGTGATTTGCCAGCAACAGAATCATCCTCAAGTTTGAAATTCAGGTCATCTCACAAACACTGAAGTCTGGAAAAATATTTGCAGCAGACCCACAGTGAGATTTTCAACCATCTCTGAAGGCGTTAGGAAATAGGACTTCATCTGATGCACTTATGTTTATTTCTAGTTAATTATCTGAGATACTCAGATACAGAGATGACAACATCCACAAAGTTCTGCTGGCATGGTAGTGAGGTGGGGAAGCAGTGGGCATGAGTTTGCTTTCGCCTTTAAAAAAGTCTCTAAGGCTAGGCTCAGTGTTCCTTGAAATATGTAGGGTTTGGACACACTGCAAGCAATTGAGTCGGAACCTCAGACTCCATTTAGGATAACATTTGAGGATCTCAAGGAAAATTTCCTCCCCATGGTTCATTCTGTGGGTGTTTGTCGGTGGGAGGCAATAATGTGAGCAAGGAACTTCTGTGAGAACAGAATCATCTAGTACCCCCATTAACACCACATATGACAAAACTCACTTGAGATAAGATTATCTTTCAGATTGTGTCTTTAAAAAACTGTCAATAATGGAAGACTTGTAAAATATACAAGGGGAAAAAAGCATAAGTTATGCCATGATTATAGAATTCAAACAAGTTATACTGGGGATCAAAGCAGGCACAAAGTGAATAAAGGAGACAAAGAACTTCTGTTTAGCACAACCTTGTTTTTAAAAAACATGGTAAAAATAGAGAGGAAAAGACATGTCCCCTCATTCAGTTAGCATATTTTTCTGGGGAAAAAATTCTAAATAATATTTCTGCATTACCTTGGTGTGCATAGATCTCTATAGCATGCTCTCCAAATTAAGGCTGGTAATTGAAAACTGCCCTGGCAATACCACAGTTTTCCAATGAGACCCCAGAAAGCAATGCCAAGAGTAATCTGTTAGAAATCTGAGACACTCCAGTGAGCAGCCACAGTCTTTACACCGACAACAAGCTAGATTCTGATCTATTAGTAGCTCTGTGTCTCTAATTAACTTTGGTATAACTTAGATCAGAATGTCTCCTGTGGTGCAAACAAGGTGTTTCAGGTGGTGGCACCTTGCCTAGCTCTGTTCTGCAGTGTCATTCCAGGCAGCCAGTCCTTGGTGCTTTGGAGGAGATGGTTGTTAGAGCTAGTGTATAAAGTTCAAAACTGAACACTGAGCTGCACATAGCTGTTAACTGGTAGCCATGAGTTCCCATGGATCATAAGGAATGTCGGAAAATGAATCCGGCCTTGAGCATTGCACTGCCATTTTTTATAATACCGATTTTATGTTGCTGTTTTCCCACATTGCTCTACTTACTATTCACCTGTCTTGGGAAACAGTGAATACATTTTGTGTTCAATATGGATCAGAGCTAATGAGTTCCAGGTTCTTAAATATATTTACCTGTCTATTTCTTGTCCAGTGGGAGATTGGTATCTAAATATCTCTGTTAGTCTGAGTTCAGTGCCTTGCTGGAAAAGCCGAGTTTCAGACTTCATTTTCTCCTTTACTCATGGTAAAATAATTCTTCCAGGCTAAATCTTGCTTCAAGTTAATTAAATTGATGTTAATATTCCTGGTGACTTCAGAGGAAGACAGATCCAGCTCAATATGTAATAAAAACATAAGAGTAATAATTTTTCTAATACTAATTTAACTCGACTTTATGATATGTCTAATGCTTTGTGGTATTTTTACTTTGAAAGTGTTTCTATTTAAAACTACTCACCATGATTTCACCAATTTAAGTCGATGTGTCATTTACTTCAACACTTTCAAGAAGCTTGAGTATTTATTTACATAATAAATACATACTAAATGTCTTTATTTTTCCACATTGACATTTCTTTGCCTTGAGATCTGATTTTAAAAAATAGTTATCTGTCATAAGCTAACTGGAACAGAATGTAAAAATGATGCACAGTTAATAAAGATACAAAATACGTAATCTGTCAGAGCAGATCCACTGATCACACTCTTCTGACAGGAATATGTCTGTGTGCTGGTACTGCTCTCAGAATAGGATTTTACCCACTAACTACATGTTTTTGTACATATGTCATGCAAAGTGGGAAAGATCTAAAGGAATATTGCGTTTTTTACATAAATATAATTAAGAAACTGTTAAGAAGTTTGGTTAATTAAAAAACAAGTATGCAAATTATTGTGTAAAGGCAAGCCCCTCATCTTTTCTATGCAGGATATATTCAAACATAGGAGACTTCAGGCACAGCAAAATCACTGCTCCTTTCTAAGGCTATTTTTTTCATACTTGCAGAGCCATGATCTTATCCTTCTTGGGGGACTGACTGGGCCAAGGGTAACAGCCTGATCTGTCACCTGTAAATAGAGGCATGTAGAATGGGGACATGTATGATGGAGGAGACACTGCTAGAGGACAAAGGTTTTGCATCTTCTTGTAGAAGTTCACAAATTCTGTGAGCTCACTTCCACACTCAGGGATATGCTGCTAGACAGCAACTCCCCAAACGTCTTAAGAGTATA